AAATAGTCCTTGTCTTCCCCTTAACAAGTTTTTTGTGCCCCTTGGGGGTATATGAACAGCCCTGGAGCAGATGGTCTATAACAGGGGTTCTTAACTCTTTGTGCCATGACTCCCTTTGGCATTCTGGTGAAGCCTATGGGCCCTTTCTCAGAATAATGTTTTTAAGTACATAAAATGACATACATGGAATCACAAAGGAAACCATTTCTATTGAAATACAGTTATCAAAATGTTTTTAAAAAATCATGGACCTCCTGAAATCTATGGTTCTTGGACCCCAAGTTAAGGACTTGTAACCTTTAAAGTCCTTTCCTGCTGTAAGGTTTTTACATACTATGGCTAAATGCATCTGGGAATGAAATTCTCAGTGAAGACCGTAACAAGCAGGAGGCTTGGTTGGTTGGGCACAGGCTTTTGAGATGGGAGTACTGATTTCAATCCTAACTGCATGTACTTGCAGCACCCAGGTGTTTGGACAGAATGTGCCATATTTGTTCTGGTCATCTTCTGACTATTCCCACTTGAAAATTAGGAATAAGAAGTCCATCAACCTCACAATTAAATACAGTATTTTAGGTGTTAGGATTGACTATTTGCAATTTGCAAAGAGTTATAAAGAGGAAAGGAGTGGGAGGCTATGTGTGGAAACTCTTCGATTCCTAAACAGTGCTTCCAAGAAAGCTTAGCTAGCCCATCATAGTATTGCAGGCCTACAATTGCACTACAAATTGCAGGCCCCAGTGGCTGGGGAGGCTGAGACTAGTGGATTGCTTGAGTTCGGGAGTTCTGAGCTATAGTAGGGCTAAAGTTAAAGTTGACCAGGTGTCTACATCATTTGGCACCACACTAGGGAACCCCCAGGAGGCAGAGGACTCCCAGATTTCCTAAGGAGAAGTGAACCAGCCCAGCCAGGTTGGAAACAGTAGGTCAAAGCTTCAGCCCTGATCAGAAGTGTGGATGGGAGATCTTGCACTTCTGGCCTTGGTGAGAAAGGAAGATCTAAACTCCAAAAAAAAAAAAAAAGTTCAGTGAAACCTAGTTTTTAGAGACAGTGACAGAAGCAATATAGTCAAACAGCTTGTTCATTCTGCCCAGACATTTTTGACAGTTGAGAAATTGTTCCTCCCCCTATCATGCTGGTGCTGTTGTAATGATAACAATAACAATAATAATCACAATAGATTTGCGAAGTGCTTTACATATGTTGTCTCATACTCTAATCAGGCAAGCTCTATGATGGTAGGAAGCTATCCCATGGACAATCCAAAACCAGGGATGTTTTTAAGTCACTTCTTTAGGGTTTTGGAGTACACTATGACTTTTGGACAGCAGGCTGAGCTTTCTAATTCCCTTTGGCTTGAACTAATCTGAAAGCAAGTTTACATTTCCTGAGAATGCACTGGCTGGTCGCCAGGGGAGGCAACCCTGAAGTGTGCTTGGGGCTGGAGAAAGCCAAGCTTGGATGAAAACATTGCCAGTTTGGCGATTCACATAATGGATAAGTTATGAGCAGATAATCAAGAGTTAGTTCTATGTCGAACATTTTTTATTGTTGTTCAGTTGTTTTTAGTTGTATGTCACTCTTCACAGCCCTATTTGGGGTTTTCTTGGCAAAGACACTGGAGTGGTTTGCCATTTCCTTCCCCATTTCATTTTAGAGATGAGGAAACTGAGGCAAGCAGGGTTAAGTGACTTACCCAGGGTCACACAGCTATTAAGTGTCTGAGGCTGGACTTGATCTCAGGAAGAGGAATCTTCCTGACTTTAGGCTCACTGTGCCACCTGGATGCCCCAGTTGAACATTAAATAGGTAACAAACTGGGTCTGTTGAGGAGGAAAACTCACTATAGCCGAAAGGGGAGCACTGGGTTTGGAGTAAGAGGACCATTTTTGAGTTCTAGCTCTCCCACTTACCAGCTTTGTGACCTCTAAATCCTCTGAATCTATGGGGCACTTAACCTTTCTTGCCTCAGTTTCCTCATCTGAGATATTTGAACCACCTGTGCCCAAAGGTTTATTATAAAGATCAATATAGAGAATATATACATATATATATGCACGAACACACACACACACACACACACATATGCACACAGATACACACATAAGTGTTTTGCAAACTTTAAAGTGATATATAAATCTGAGCTGCTTTTACATCATCTCTAGGAAATCACCCGTGGACTTTGTTGTTAACCTTAAACTGGTTCCCTGTGTATTTTTGGTCCTTGAACATACGGACTGGAGAAGATACTAGCCTTCAGTCAGTCAAATTTTGAAAGTTCATGGGATCATAGATTTAGAACTGGAAAGGACCTCATTGATCATGTAGTACAGCTGCCTCATTTGACAGATGGGGAAACTGAGGTATTGGGATGTTATGGGATTTGTCCAAGAATACACAGCAAGTAGAAGAATGAAGATTTAAACCGAAGTCCTCTGACCCCAAATCCAGTCTTTTTTTCTCTGTACCATATTGGAAGGATAATGTAACATGGGGGAAAAGAGCACTGAGCTGGAATTCAGGAGGCCCAGGAAGTTCTTATTCTGGCCCAAATCCCTTTGAAGCCTGCTTTAGGCCTCAGTTTCTTTCTCTTTAAAATATGGAGGCTGGACTAAGGTGCTCCCCAGCACTGGTAAATGATTCTAAACTGGTTGGTATTTCTTCCCTGGCATCTCACCATGGAAGTGTAGATGCTGAAGTAAGGGGGTGAGAGGAAGAGCTAACGCCAACATTCCCCCTCCCCTCTCTCACTCCAAACATAGGCAGGCCTTTTTTTGGCTGGTAGAGGACTGGCTTAGGCTGGAAACTAAAGGCTGAGGTCTGCTGAGGAAGGTGGGACTGGAACCTGTGAAGAAGAGTGTCTTTCTGGACTCCCCTGGCCAAGAGGTACTCAAGGGGCCCTGGGCAGGGAGCTCTCATGGAAAAATTCATGCAGGGGAACCTGTCGGGATTAACAGTCCCATCCGTCTCTGGCCACACTTGGAGAAACTGTTCAGTTTTTCCACTAATGCCAGTGTCGTCTTGCCAAAGTGTTTTCCGTCGATGTATTGGTCTTTGTCGTAGGGCCAACTGTGTTTAGGGCAGTGGAGGCTGAGCGGCCTGGGCCAGCTGGAACCCTTTTCTGGGCTTCTGTCAGCGTTACCATCCATCAGAAGTCCCTGGCTTGGGGAAAGGGACTATACTGACCCCAGTGTCAAGTTTGACCTCCTTCCTGGTCTGGGAATTGTATTGTTTTCCAGTCCCGGATGGTACTGAGGCAGGAGCAGTAGAGTCACTGGGCAGGTGAGAGGAAGGTAGGAGACACTACAGTGGAAAGAACCCTGGGTTCTAGTCTGGGCTCTTCCACTTATTTGAGCAAGTCATTTCTTTTCTTTGGTCCTCAGTCTTCTCATACATCAAATGGGTACAATAATCTCTGGTTGTACCTCCCTCCAATGGGTTTTGTGAGGACCCAATGAAGGAATGAAAAGTTAATTGAAAGGAACTGAAAAGTTAAGTGTAAATGCACTTTGCAAATGCAAAGTGAAATGATTTGTAAGGTTGGAAACAGAGTGGCCAGAGGAGGGTTTGAGCTTAGCACTTTTCCACCTGATGCCTCTGGGAAGAGCCTGGCTGTGTCTTTCTTCTTTATTTGAAGCCATTGGGTGCTTAGTGATCTTTAGTGAAAGTTCAAGCAGCATGTATCAAGGGCGATCTCTTCCCCTTCTTTTTGTGGAGAGGGCTGGCCATCCTCAGCCCCTGAAATATCAGTCTACTGAAGTAGAGAGGGGCTGTCACCTGCACAGGTATCCTAGCACAGGTATCCTAGGAGCCTTGAGGCATTAGAGCATCTTTATATACAGCGAGGAGGAACAGGCACGGCAGTCTGGAAGAAGTGAGGTGGGGTAGGGTGAGTCTGGGTGTGCTCCATGCCTGCCCCACAATCAGTTTGTGGGCTGATTGTATGTAGCTGAACCTCCAGTCTTTTCTTAGTGTCTTCTAGGGGAGCCCCCTTCTCCTCCTCCTCCTCTGCCCTCTTCAATTCGTCATTTTGGGGGCAAGAGAGCCTGTAAATTAGGTCCTAGTCTTATTATATCAGCCAATCTGTTGCCAAGCACCGAGTATGTACTAGGCATTGTGATCGGCCCTGGGGATGCAAAGAAAGAAATGATCAGACTTATGTTTTAGAAATATCAATTTGTTAGCTGTGGGATGGATTGATTGATTATTGAATGATTGATTGATTAGGTGCCTGCTATGTGTTGGGCACCGGGATAGGCACTGGAGATACACAAACAAAAGTGAAACCCTCCTTGTCCACAAGAAGCAGTAAGGCTTTCTGAAATACAGAAGTTGGCATGTGCCAGATGGGCAAACCACCACCGCCACCTTCCCTTAGACTCTATTGTAGATGGAGTGGGATCCTGAAACCCCAAACCCCAGGATCAGACCACTGGCCCTGCTTCCAGCCTGGCCCCGAAGTCATCATCGGCAAGGGGGACTGCATTTGTGATGGTCCCACCACCATGGCAGGAAAAGCAGCCTGACTGGAGCAGCAAAGTGTCCCAAGGGAAAGATAAGGCATGGCATATGCCAGGTCAGTCAAACCACTGCTACTACTTCAACTACTACCTCCCCTCAGATTCAAGAATAGAAGCACCTTCCCCCCTAAGCTCCAGGCTCACCTGCCGGCTAGGGCAGGTGAGCCCTAGAACCCCAGAAATAAGTCTCCCAGCCTTGCTTCCAGCCGACCTGCCATAATCATAGTCTGTGGGAGCAGCCCTTGTGGAGATGGGACCAGGTAATGGCTTCTGCAAGAGCTCTGTTTCCCAGAAGGATACTGATTCTGAGTCAGTCCTCTTATCTTCACTGCTTGGGAGAGATGGCCATTTGTGGCTTTGGATGGTCCTGACCAACTCCCTTCTCCCTCCCCTCAACTGCACTCCCTGGCAGTGGGACCTGGTTACTGGAGCTAGAAACTGATGTGTGTACTTTCTTGCTTTCCCTCTCTGATTCATAGGGGATTCCTCTTAGCCTGGATTGTCTTCTGTTCTACCTGTGGCCTGGCCTTCACCCAGGGAGATCCTGAAGGTACTTTTCTCTCTCTCTTTTAGAAAAATTTTTACTTTAGGAAAAGGGAGCAAGGGGGTGGGAAGCATCATCCCTGAGAGCTATGGTGGAGAAACTCAGGCTCTGAATCACGACTTTCCTTTGGGTGCTTCAGTTTTCTGCATCAGTAAAATGGGGGGGATCATTATAAGCTTTAAGGAACAGAAGGCATTGTCAGAAATCTATGCCTCTCTCCTGCCCCTGGCTGGATTTCAATATTCTAGAAAATATGTATTGACCTTATTTTGAGATATTGAGGGTGTGAGAGCCTAACCCAGATGTGTGGGCAGTTTTCTTTATTTCACACCTGTGAAAGAATTGAGTTGTGATTCTGAGAATTAACAGGTTAAGAAGATGAGGAACTTTAAAGTAAACTTATAAGCAATAATAAAATCAGTTGGTGCCTTTTAACTTTTAAAAACCACGGTATGACTAATAGATCTGTATAATATATAAGCATATATACACATATATAATATATACACACACACACACACATATACACACACAGAGACACAGAGACACTTATTAGACCTGTGATTTTGATGGTGTGGAGAGCTCCTAATGAAGAGCTTCTCCCATCAGTGCTGATAGGCACTTCCTCTGAACCTTAGTGTCATAGACAGCTGCCTGGAGACACAGAGGGGTTAGTTAAGTGACTTGCCAGTGTTAACAGTGCCAGTATGTGTCAGAGGTCAGGCTAGAAGCCAGATCTTGCTGGCCTCAAAGCCAGCTCTCCATTAACTATGCCACACTTCCTCTATAGTATCTATAAATAATATATGTACCCCTATGAAGCAGGCAGGGGAAGTATTATTAACCTCACTTGAAAGATTAAAAATAAATCAATAACTAGGCCCAGAAGGATTGTGTGACTTGTCTAAGATTGTTGAATCAATCAATTAATTAATCAATCTTTATTAAGCCCCTACTATGTGCCAGGCCCTGTACTAAGTTCTGAGCACATAAAAAGAGACAAAAGACAGTCCCTGCTCATTGTGGAATCTAATGGGAGAGACAACAAAACAAATTACATTCAGGATAAATAGGAAACAATGAACGGAGAGAAGGCACTGGAATTAAGAGGATTGGGGAAGGCTTCCAGGAGAAGGTGGGATTTCTGTTGGGACTGAAAGGAAGCAACGCAGATCTCGAGCTCAGCCTTGTTTTGTGCCATGGACCCCATCTGCGGTCTGGTGGGGACTAGGGAGCCCTTCCTAGAACAGTGTTTGTTGCCTGTATTCATATTGAAAGGAAATGCTAAGTTTCAGTTAGAGGTTAGTCAAAATAAAGATACAAGTGATTTCACGTCTAAGCTCATGGACTCCAGATTCAGAACCCTTGATCGAGAGTTAGAAGGGTCCTCAGAGACCATCAAGTCCAATGCCCCCTCCCCATTTTTTATCATTGTTCGGTCATTTTTAGTTGTGTCTGACTCTTCACAACTCCATTTGGGGCTTTATTGGTGAAGACGTAGGAGCCATTTCCTTCTCTTGTTCATTTTACAGAAGAGGAAACTGAGGCAAACAGGGTTAAGTGACTTGCTTAGGCTCACACAGGTTGGTAAGTGTCTGAGGCCAAATTTGGACTCATGAAGGTGAGTCTTCCTGACTCCAGGCTGGGTGTTCTATCCACTAGCTCCCCCTCATTTTACTGATGAGGAAACTGAGGCGCCAAGAGGTTAAATGATTTGCCCAAAGTGACCTCTGTTGTAGGCATCCACTTGTCACAGTGCAGGGAGCACTTGAGTGTGGCTCAGATACCACACCTGGGTCCTATGACTCCAGAGCCTGGGCTTTTTCCTCTGTACCAAGTTTATAGAGCTTGGTACTGGCAGCCTCAGAATTGGAGGTCGGGCTCCCTGACCCCTGTCTCAGAGGGGGAGGAAATGAACTTGGTATGTGGAAAACTGGAGTGAGGTAGAGGTGGGAGAATAAATTAGGGGAGCCTGAAGGATATTTTCTTGGTGGGCTGGTAGAAGGGACTTGACAGTCAGGGTGGCAGAGAAGGAAGTCACAACCCGGAGAGGGTTGGTAAGATCCTCAGACCATTCATTCATGGCACAGTTAGGATTAGGACTCCTGGGCCCGGAGAGCTCACTTGTCTGGCCTCTGCTGGGCCTCACAAGGCTCCTTGCCTCTTACTACTTGCTAGGGTTATTCCACCGAGGGCCAGTGGATCCTCTCGGGAGAGAGGAGGGTGGGGATGACTTTCCTTGTCTGGATCACGAAAACTGAAACAGATCTCTCCCACATCTGTTTGTCAGAACACTTCCTTGTTCTTAAAATAGCAACACCTCTTTCTCCCTAGCCATTGCTGTAAGGTCAGGCAAAAGGGGAAGGAGATAAGAGCCTGGATTATAATCCAGGGACCCTAGAATTGGGGGTGGAGGGAAGGTTCCAGGTCAAGTCTTTGCCTTAGCAGTAACCTAGCTTCAGAGAGGGGATGGGGTGGGGCAAAGCCCAGCAGGACCAATCCAGCAATGCTTTTTTGCAAATGTCATATTTTCCAAACTTGCTTCCCCCTCCTCCCCACCCCCACCTCCCCTGCAAAGTAGGTGAACAGCTGTCTAGAGCCCTGAGTCAGGCACTTGGGGGGGGGGTAGGAGCAGAGGAGGGGTGTTTTTGGAGCACGGTTTATGTAATAAAGGCATCTAGCCTGCTCCAGCTGGAGAGCTCAGTTGGATTGGCTCAGTTCTCCCATCTCAGTCACTTCGCCTGTTCTTACTGATTCTCTCTGTAACCCCCTCTATTCTCTTTCCCCCACCCCCCATCTTTGACCCATATCTCTTTCCCTCTTATCCCTGCCCCCCAGATGACCAGATGTTCTTTCATTGGTACTGTCATGGCTTTTGTACAGAACAAGACCAAGGGATCAGATCTGAATGGGTGTCAGGAGCTCTCGGTTAAGTCCCAATTTTTGAGGCAGCTAGGTGGCACAGTGGAAGAACTGAGTTCAAAGAGTAATAATAGTAACAATAAAGTTGCTGTTGTTCAGTCTTTTTTCAGTCCTAGTCTGACTCTTTGTGACCTCATTTGGGATTTTCTTGGCAAAAGTACTGGAGTGATTTGCCATTTCCTTGTCCAGCTCATTTTATAGACAAAGACCTGAGACAAACAGGATTAAATAACTTGCCCAGGGTCACACAGCTAGGAAGTGTCTGAGGCCAGATTTGAACTCAGGAAGATGAGTCTTCCTGACTCCTGGGCCCGGCACTCACTTAGCCCCAATCACAAAGTCATAGCTAATAATCACTGTGTAAGAATCACCCACTTAATGATTATCTCATTTGATTCTCACAACCCTGGGATGTAGGTGCTGTTATCATTCCCATTTTATAGATGAGAAAAGTGAGGCAAACAAGTGATTTGTCCAGGTCACATAGCTAGTAAATATCTGAGACAGAGTTTGAACTCAGGTTTTCCTGACTCCAGGTCCAGCACTCTATCTATTGCACCATCAGCTGCCCCACATACCCACTATGTGACCCTAGGGATAAAAATAGCACCTACCCTCAGGGTTGCTGTGAGCACAAAATGTCATTGTTCATCATCATCATCATCATCATCATTATTTTTATTTTTATTTTGAAAGTCACTTGCCCTCTAGGGTCTCAGTTTCCTCATTTGTAAAATAAGGGAGTTGGACTCAATAACCTCTAAGGTCCTTTGCAGTCCTGATATTCTGCTTTCAATGACTTCTTCCAGCTTTGACATTCTATGTTCTATGGACCCTTCTAGCTTTGACTTTTCAAGGTCTTTTGTCTCTTCCAACTCCAGCTTTCTAATGTTCTGTGTTCTAACGGCCTATGTTCTAACTCTAACACCCTATGTTCTGACATTCCATATCCTAAGGTTCCTTCTAGCTCCAGTATTCTGGGTTCTAAGTTCCCGTCCAGATATACAGCAGTCTGCATGCTAAGGTCCCTTCTAGCTTAATCTTCTGTGTTCTGAAGTCTCTCTCCCCACTAATATTCTGTGTTCTAAGACTCCTTCCAGCTATAAATGATTGTGTTCTAGGGTCCTTCCTGATCCTGATCTATAATTAGATCTTAGCAGAGATATGAAAGATGGCATACACATTGTATAACTTCCCCCTTCTCTCCAACACCCTCTTCCCTCCCATTACATTGACTGCAATAACCTTTTACTCCTTCCAAATTTCTCTTTTCTGGACTTGAACCCAGGTTTCCTCACTCCCATCTCTTTTCATTTTGCCAGCTGAAAAGGAGAGAAGTGAATGAGCATTTTACCTCTACCTGATCCCTCAGATTCTGGGGGATTCAGAGTTGTGTTAAAGAGAAGGGGAATGGATGGCATTGGGAGAGACTTAGGAATGCAGAGGAATTCATTTCAGGCTTGCTTACCAGGGATGCTAAAAATCCAGGGATATTCGGTTGGGTCCCCCATTTGTCCAGCTGGCGATTTTAAGTCTCAGACCCACCCAGCTCGGTGAGTTGTCCCCATCTGACCAGGACTTAGGAACCCACCTCCTCATTGCTAGTTCCCCAGATACCAACAAGTCACTCGACTCAGTGGCTTCAGGCTGCAAAAGGCCAAAGCAGAAGGAAGGAGAGAGGCTTGAAGGATCTTATATAAACAAATTTGGGAAGCTTTTTTTTTTGGATTCTTGTTTCTTTTGGTCCATCAAATTCTGTGCTGGTAATTACTGGGCGGATGTGGCCTGTCTTGGCTCGTGGTCAGTTGTCCAAACTCTAAGCTCTGGCCAGAGGACAGAGTTCAGGAGGAAACCTAGACTGTCTCTTCGCCATAGACAGTTACATTTGAAAGTTCAATAGGCTGACAAGAAATCCTTTCTCCCTGTGTGACTTTCACAATTAGAGCCTTCCTGGAGACCTCGGGACATTGTCTCAGCCAGGTGTCATCGGATCGCACTGAATCACGAGAGACTGTAGGGGTTGTCTAAATCTAGCCCCCTCCCTGTGCTTTTACAGTATATCCACAGTTCCTCTGATGGGGGCTAGTGAGCTTCTGCTTGGAAACTCTGAGTGATGGGAGCTTGCTCCCTTACAAGGAAGCCCTTTTCATATTTGGAAACTTTGGGCCATACAGGGGATCTCCTTCATATTTGTTATGACAGTAACTGTTTCAGAAGCCCTTCTGCTATTTGAAGACAGCTCTCATATTACCCCTCTTGTCTAGGCTACATGAAGCTGTGTAGTGCAGTGGTCAGGGCACCAGATCTAGAATCAGAGAACCCATGTTCACATCTTGGACCTGCTACTTCTTAACTGTGTGAGCTTGGGCAAGTCACTTCATCTTTCTGGGCCTCAGTTTCTTCATTTGTAAAATGAGGGGGTTAGATTAGATGACTTCCCTCTCAATTTTAGATCTGTGATCTTATGATCTCATGATCATCAGTAGGAAGTGGGCTGGAAAGGCTTCACAGGAAGGGGAAGTGGGACTTGAGCTGAGCTTTGACTGTAGGGCAAAATTCGGACAAGTGGAAATAGTCTTAACAAAAACAGGGCAATGAGTTAGTGGTTTAGGGTTCATCCCCATTGTGCAGTGGATAGGGGTTGGATTCAGAGTCAGAAATACCTGAATTCAAATCTGACATCAGATACGTACTAGCTCTTGTGACCCTGGAGAGGTCACAACTTCTGTTTGCCTCAGTGTCCTTATTTGTAAAATAAGTATGATAGTGGCACCTATCTTCCATGGTTGTCATAGGATTAAAGTGAAATATTTGTAAGGCTCTTTGCAAACATTCAAGTGCTACTTAAATACTAGCTATCATTGTTATTGTTATTATCATTAATAAGGTTGGTGCATTTCCCCAAGGCTATAACTGGCTCATCTTGTTCCCCACCCCCTAGATGTGGATGTCCTCCAACGGCTGGGCCTCAGTGGGAAGAAGTCAGCTGGTGGACGGGCCCCGGGGCTGGCCCCCATCCCTCCAGGAGTCATCCCATTTCAGTCAGGATTCATCTTCACACAGCGGACCCGCATTGAAGCCCCCACCCGAGCCATCATTCCTGCCACCTTTGGCACTGAGCTGACCTTGGTGCTGAGCCTCTGTTCCCACCGTGTCAATAATGCCTTCCTCTTTGCTGTCCGGAGCAGCAGGAAGAAGTTGCAGTTGGGTGTTCAGTTCATTCCTGGCAAGATCATCCTCTACTTGGGCCAGCGGCGCTCCCTGGCCTTCAGTTACGATGTGCATGATGGGCGGTGGCACCACTTGGCCATCAGTATCCGAGGTCGGGTGGTCACCCTCATTACTTCCTGTGGGAAGCACCAGATACCCATGGATTTGCATTTTAAAAAAGATGTATCTCTTGATCCTGAGGGGTCTTTCCTCTTTGGGAAGATGAACCAACACTCAGTCCAGTTTGAGGGTGCAGTGTGCCAGTTCAATATTTATCCTTCTGCCAAGGCAGCTCATAATTACTGTAAATATCTGAAGAAGCAGTGCAGACAGGCTGACACATACCGGCCACTCTTGCCCCCACTCCTTCCCCTACTTCCCCAGGACCCTGATGCCAATGTCCACCTTGGCCTCCAGACTGATGCTTCTCTGCAGAGCCTGAGGAACCTGACCACTGTGATGCCTCCACTGGCATCCCTTCAAATTGCCAAGACTACCCAGGCCTTGCCCAGAGCACCAGGCAAAGGTGCCAAGATAACAGTGGTGCCTTCAGCACTGACCAGCCCTGGGTTGGTGGTGCCCCCCCACCAACCTATGAGGACTAGCACTGTGGATCCTTGGTCATCCCGATCAACCCCAATGAGTGGTCTGGTCTGGACCATACCAGTGACTGCAAAGCCATTGCCTTTGTCTTCAGGCAAACCTTCCTCCTCTGTGCTCAGGTCTGCACTGACCACCTCCCAGAGCAGCTCCACCAAACCTCCCATTCCTGCCATGATGCCTGTGCCACCCACATCCAAAGCCAGTGTGGTTAAGATTCCCTATATTCCTATTAAGCCAGTAACTCCTTCTGTCACTGTGGTCCCAGCTAAGAGGCCCCATGCCATCGTCAAGCCAGTGCTAACCTCTCCATCTAAGAGCTTCCCTTCCAACATGAAGCCAGTGCCCCTTGGCTCCCAAATCATCCCTGCCAAAGCCCCATCTCCTCCTACAGTGAAGCCCACACTTCAGAACTCTGCAACAGCCAAAACTCCTTTTCCCACCGCCAGGCCAGTGCCTCCTGCTGTACGGTCCTCCCCTCCCGTCACCACCAAGACAGTGTCCCAGGGCTCCAGAGCCAGTATGGCCAGAAACCTTCCTTCTACCAGCAAGCCAGTGTTGGCTTATACTGGCACAGCCAAGCTGACCCACCCTTCAATTAAGCCATCCTTGCCAGCCTCAGGTTCTAGCCTAGCCCAGACTCCTAGGCCCCCAGTGAAACCAGTGTTTCCTACCACGGGGATCAAATTGCCCAGAACAATACCTCCCACCTTCTACCCAGGCTCTCCTCCTGGTCTCAATTCCACTGGCAGCAAGAAGGTGGCTGAGTCCACTGTGAAGAAGAAATCAACTCCAAAGAGTACCCCCTGGCCACCTAGCCATCCAAGCCCTAGGAAGACTGGAGATCCACCTAGTACTGTCTCCTTCCCTTCAAGCCTGAAGAATCTGACTGCTCGGCCCATCCCCAAACAGGCTCAGCTCAGTCGTACGGCTGCCACGGTTCTCACGCAGCACCCCGCCTCCAGCTCTCGGTTTGTGGGTGCCATCACCCTCACTCACACAGATGGTTACCTGTTCTTTGACCCGATTGGGCCCACCTTATTCCCATTGCTGTTGGGACCTCCGGGGCAGAAGGGAGACCCTGGCTTCCCAGTAAGTCTAGATGCTTTGTGTGCCTTCTTGCCTCACTTTTATACCAGAGTGTAAGTGACAGTGGCCATAGAGACCAGCATCAGGGCAAGACAGAGGTAGTACCAATCATCTGGTCATTGTTTGCTCCAGCCTTTATGTTTTGATGAGGTTCATGGCAGCCATGGTGTTGTAGGATGAACACTGGACTTGAGGCTAGAGGGCATGGATTCAGATGCCATTTCTTCTGATTCCTCTCTGATGGAGCTTGGTTAAGCCACTTCTCTCGGGCCTTCAGTTACTCAACCGTGAAACGAGGAGGGCTGGGCTAGGTTCCTTCTAGCTCTGAATTCTGTGATCCTATATTTTCTGTCATTAGGTATTGACTTAGAAGTCCAGGTCTATAAAGGATGCCCAATGTTTTGCTGCTACTCTTGACTTTCCTGAAGTATTAAGTAACATAAGTAAGAAAGTAAGACTTTCCTGAAGTATTAAGTAAGAAGTATTAAGTAAGGTGTCATGGAGTTGGAGCCAAACTCAGAGTCAGGAGACACCTGGGTTTCCTTCCCTTGACTCTTCCCTATGTGATCATAGGCAAATTCAGTTTGGTTCAATGACTATCTTTTAAGCACCTGCTATATTCAGAGAACTGAAGGAAGTGTTGGGGATCCAAAAAAGCAGTGAAAAACAATCCCTGCCCCTAGGGAGCTTCCATTCTGCTGGGGAGAATCACTTAACCTCTCTGAGCCTCAACTGTAGACTGGGATAATACTGCCTTAGATATTTATCCTGTAGGGTTACTTTTTGTTGTTGCTGTTGTAGGTTTTTTTTTTTAGACCTAACCATGCAATTTTATTTGTGTAGGAAGTTCCCAGAGAGTTAACTCCCTCTGCCAGTGCAAAATGGTACCTGTTCTGTAATTTATAGTCTTACAAAGTTGCCTGGGGGCACTGGCAGGTTAAGTGCCCAGGATCTTAGCCACATTATGTGTCAAAGGCAGGATCTGAACCCAAGTCTTTCTAACTCCAAGGCCAGCTCTCTAGCTACTATCGATTTGAGGGACAATTGAGCTAATGCATATAAAATGCTTATAAATCTTAAAGCATTATATAAACGCCAGCTTTTTTTTTTGTATTATGACGGTGACAGATACTGGGATAGGGATTAGCTGAGGGTACAAGTTACTTACTAGAGCTGATAACCAGATATCATTTTAAAGATCATCCAGTGAATTTAAGTTGACTTATTGGGGGTCCCTGCTATAAAGACTGAGTTTCCTCCCAGACAGTTTGCTGATAATTCTCCAGTGGCTTCTTATAAACAGAAAATGGTATCGCCCTACCTCCGTGAAGAATTTCCTTTCTTGGGTTGTAGAATCATAGGATTTTTAGCACTGGAAGGAACTTTAGAACTAACACAGGATCATAGGGTCACAGACCTTCAAGGGACCTTAGAGATGATGTAGTCCAACTTCCTCATCTGACAGATGAGGAAACTGAGCCCTTGGGAAACTTCCCTGGGGTCCCAGAGCAAATTGGCAGTAGATGCAGGACAAGAGCCCTGGATTCTTGGAACTAAATCATCAGTTCAGTGTTCTCCCCACTATGTTCTTATCCCCAATGACTAGTGTTCTTCTGAAGTCTTCTCTTGGCTCCCTCTTCCTTTCTTTCACCCCAGACACCTGGCTGTTCCCATCCCCCTGCTGGGTCAGGTTTCCTATTGTTTACTAAATCAGTGTTTCTCAATCCAAACTACCCTGGAGACAGTGACAACACTTCACATTCTCTTCCTTGGACTCCTCTGTCCATCACACCCTCAGCAATCAGAAGGTAGGGAGCAGAATTTAGGGAGGAGCAAGAGATTTAGGTGGTAGCAACAGGATGGAGAGAAGAAAATAAGAATGAAGAGCTACCTTAAAAATTTTTATAGGGTTTAAGATGTAAAGACCTTTGGTAGTAAAGAGAGCTGGATGGCTAAAGTGCTGGACTTAGAGTCAGGGAGACCTGAATTTGAATTCTACCCCAGACACTTACTAGCTATGTGACCTTGGGCAAGTCACTTAACCTTTGTTTGCCTCAGTTTCCTTATCTGTAAAATGAGGATAATAATAGTATCTACATCTTAAAGTTGTTGTGATGATCAAGTGAGATAATATATGCAAAGTGCTTTGTAGACCTTAAAGTACTTTATAAATGTTATCATCATTATCATCAAATTTGTTAGACCAGGAGAAAGTCCCCATAGACAGAGATGATCTGTGGGCCAGTGGTTGGGAAAAACCACTTTAGATTATGGGAACTCTATACTGGGAGAAAGAGAAAGGGAGAACTAGAAGGAGGTAAAATACCTCACATGAAACAGACAAGAAGTGTTTTGCATGACTACGCATCTATAACTTGTATCGAGATGCATGCCTTTTCAATGAGGGTGGGTGGGAAGGGAGGAAGGGAGAAAATTTATAACCCAAAGTTTTAAAAACACATGTTAAAAATAAAAAAAAAGATTATGAAAACTCTAGAGACTAGACAGTGGATCCACTCCCTGAGGGGAGATCGATGCCCCAGGGAGATTTTCATTTCTATAAACATGTGGTGTAGTGGAAAGAGCACTGGTCTTGGAGGAACAAGATCTGAGTTTGAATTCTGGTTCTCCCACTTACAAGCTGTGTGATCTTAGACAAATCACTTTCCCTTTCTGGGCCTCATCTGTGAGAAGTTTCAGACTTGAATAGTTTGGGTTTGAATGAGCAGAGGAGCAGGGGGCTGGAACATTTGAAGCATTGTAGATCACCAAGAACTCATGTTCACCTTTAAGCCTCCTGACTTGGATGGGAACATTGATCAGGGTAGAATGACTTCCCTAGGGCTGATGGACTGACTCATCAGTAGGCTGGGCCACCAGACCTAGTTTCCAGGGGACCAAGGCCACAGCTGCTGCTTCTCCCCTGCCTCGAAATGTACCAACCCCCAGGCTCTTTCATCCCCTGCCCAGGCTCTCAAGCTCTGAGCCAGCCCCTCTATTTGAAGTCCCTGTTTCCTGCTGAGTGGACAGTGGCTAGTACTTGGAATTTCTTGATTTTAAAAACACATTTAATTATTTTTGATAATCATTAGTAATAATATTTATACAGCCTGTCTCTAAAGGGACCAAAGCACTATTTTTTATTGTAACCATATTATAAATCTTATGGAAATAATTTACATTACTTTTCAATTATGTAAATGTTCCCCAAGGCCCTGTTTTCTGAAATCCATTTTCTCCATTAAAACAGCACCAGCTAACACACAGCGAGGGCATGATCCATGTTCCTGAGGAAAGGACGTAGTCACATGGAGCCCCATGAGCTATGTAAGACTGACCACAGGCATTAGAGGGCCTGGTTTTCATGACTTTCTCTGACACCACTGGTCTCTCTAAGCTTCAAGTCCTTTCTTCTATTTCACAGCTGCTCAGTGGGGCTAGTCAGAAGATCACAGCATTTAAAATTGTCAAGGATCTTAGAGATCTGGTTGTTTTGTAGGTAAGGAACCTGAGACCCAGAGAGTTGAAGGATCTTGTGTAAGGGCTCACAGCTAGTTAGTGTTAGAGCCAGGTTTGCACCCCTCCTGACTCCAAATCCAGAGATATTGCAACTCCATTGGAAGGACTGGAAAGTTGTCCCTATTTTATGGGGTGGAAGTTGGAGAATGGGGTAGGTGGTAGTGGGAAACATAGCCAGCAAGGTTAAGGGCTTTGCCCACAGTCATTCAAGGGGGTTTAAGGTAAGGCTCCCAAACTATTCTTTCCACAGAATTTTAGAAGTTGAAGAGACCTTTTTTCAATCCAGCTTCCTCATTTTAAAGATGGAGAAACTGAGGCTCAGAAAAAGAAGGAAGGAAATAAGCATTTATTAAGTGCCTGTTGTATTGTATTGTATGCCCATTATGTACCAAGCATTGTGCTAAGCCCATTATAAATATTATCTTGTTTAATCCTTACAACAACCCTGGGAGGAAGGTACTATTATTATTCCCATTTTACCATTGAAGAAACTGAGGCAGACAGGTTAAGTGACTTGGCCAGGGTCACACAACTGGTAAATATCTGAGGCCTGGTTTGAACTTAGGGCTTCTAAACTTCAGACCCAGTGCTCTAAACACTGAGCCTAATGTGATAGAGCTGTCCATTAATGGGTAGAGCTACAACAAGAACCTAGCCTTCCCAAATTCAGGAAAGCACATTCTTCATTCTACCCTATTGTCTCTGAAGTCTTCAAAGGAGGATAATGTTGAGGCTACCCTGGCCCCAGGCCAGTTTTCGTGTTTAGAATCTGCTTTCCTTCTTGTCACACTACTCAGCACCTACTCCTCTCAGTAGCAAATACTTTCCACTCCATCTTGCTGTTAGAATTGGGCCTCCAGCCATTAGGTTTCTCGGAGGTTATTATCACAGCTCAGAGAAACACTTTTGGGACTTGGTGGGAGACTAGACCTGTCCAACTTCCTGGGCTGCCTAGCTCAATGGGTGCAGTACCCCTTTTTGAACCTACACCGACTTCTATGGAGTTCCTCCTCTACCCCACTAAATCTCCAGTTCTGCCTATCTCGGCATCCTTCAAAACAGAGAGCCATTACAGTATTATGGGTAGATACCTGAACTTAGAGTCGGGGGACCTGAGCTCTCATGCTGGCTCTGCCCCCATCTCTAGGAACTTGAGTAAGTAGCTTCTAACTGAACCTCATTTTCCTCATCTATAAAATAGCTGGACTAGGTGATTAAATGTGAGAATAAATGTCTGGTGCTTGAAGTATTATATGCAGTTATACCTCTGGTCTCTTCCGGCTCTAACAGCCTGTGACTTCCAGCTAGGAGACGGTTCATTCAGGATAAAGTTAGGCAAAAGTCCCTGTGCACCTGCCCCTTTTAGCCACATGCAAACATCACAATTATTTTCATTTTTCTGTAGAGACTTTTGCTTGTCTTTGCAAACCAGGGCTAATCTTTAGTGTAGCAGAAAAGGAATGGAAAAATGGGCGTGATTTTTA